CTATATTGTTGTTGAAGATATAGGTATTCTTTCAGTTAAAGATCATGATTATTTTCATTGTATACATAGTATTTCTTATTTAAGGTTATTTATGATTAATGAAAGCGTGTTTGCTACAATAAATTGTAACTTATGTTAACACATTCGAAAAAAAAGCTAATACGCGTTCCATTAGCAAAAAAAGAAAAAAAATGGCCTTCTCGAGCACATTATCCATGGCATCCTCTTCCAAAGGTCGCGTCGTCATCGTGAGCGTACTAGTTTTCTAAAGCCATGAGCGCTTAACGATCGTTATTTTACTGTTGTTATATCGCGCCAAATTACCGTGCCGTTACGAAGGACTCGTTTGATCTGTAAAGACGCATTCCTCGAAAACCCATCCTCGGCGAAACATAATACTTCTTTGGACTAGGTAAAAATCTGAGGAGACGAAGGAAGAATTTCTTCGTTCACCAGACGTTTCTTTAGCTTAAATAATTTAAGTTGAGAACAATCACAAGTTAAAAATCAATATTTCTATTCAGTACGACCTCGAGTCATTTTATCTACGATATTTCAGAATAAGCTAATTGAATTTTTTTGATAGGCAAAAATTGCGCATGAATCAACATGTCGATGCATAATTGAATTTTATTCACAAAATGAAATAAAGTTCTTTATTGAGAGTATCCTGTGTTTTCATTTTTAAATTAATTTACGTGGAAATGGTACGAGGTATTCAGCATCTCATAAACTTGACTCCAAAATCTCTATGCAATTCTCATTCGAGAATACTGAACATTTTGTAAAAAATTTTATTTTCTAATCTTGTGTTATTCTACGGTAAAGTTCAGAGTAATAAAAAAACAAAAGCAGCGGATGCACTTCGGAAGTAGATTTACGTAGACGACGGAAAAAAAAAAAGAAATTGCGTGCTGCGTCGAATCAACCTGCGCATCTGTAATCCTGTCTCCATGCCGGTATCACGTGCAATGACTTGAAGGAAACGTCCGCCGGTGCAGTGATTAGATGGAGTCGAATTTAATAGATAAGCGTTGTGACGAAGAAACCAGTAAGGTCTAAAAGCCCCCCTCCTCATTTTGCAAATCGCCGACATTACAAAAACTGGCACGACGGAATTTGCCTTTCAAGCTTCGCAGCAAGCAGTTTATCCACTCCGTGCTGTAGAAGGACAGAAATAGAGCAGTCAACGTAATCGGGTCTCATGCTTAAAATACTGCTTTGCGTGGCAAAAAATGTCCCGTCTTTGGGTGGAATCTAAAAGGGTGTGGTCATTTTCCTGGCTTACCTACAACTGGCTCGAAAGACTCGATGATCCTCCTGTGTCTTTACACAAAGCCTGATTGAGTACTCCATTTTGTGATGTAATGATGCTGCCAGATGTAAAATGTTTTCAGTATTGCACAATAAATGCCCGCCCATTCGATGATGAACTGAAAATCATGGTCAGTAGTTCTACCCTCACTAGTACGTACACTCATGTGTCTCATACACTCGTGAGTAGTACACTCAAATTTGTGATGGCATTGCTTTTCCGGATTCACTCTAACGATCTCTTGCCTACTGGATACATTTCTTGGAATAAAAACATTGATTCTTTTACTGCATTATTTTTTTAATGAATTAATAACCGAGGATGGTTAACTTGTGTAGGAATTAATAAACTATGTACATGTTTAAGAATTTTTCCTCGTCACAGAGGTTAGGAAGATTTTCGAATCTCAAAAGAACTACAGAGAAGAAGGAATCGTCCTGGAAGAAATATTTTTTAAAATCCCTCGCAAATAACTCGTTGCGATAAAAGACGTGCTTTCCTCCAAAAAGAAAGTTTTCATCGACAAACGTCCACTCAAAGTTCGGGAAACGGAGAAGAATCTATTCGAACCTCCGATATACGAGAATAGCTTGAAACCGCACGAAATAGCTTATTTAACACGAAATATCATTCAAGTCCCGACCCTGAATCTACGTCATTGCGTTTTCCTGGGTAGACGGTGCAAGCATTGTCTTTTGGCCAAGTCTTACGACGCGCCAAATCAACTTCACATACGCTTGTCGATATTAAGGTGAAGTGAAACACCCTTCAAATCAGTCGATTTGAATACAACACTTTTTTTTACGGATATTAGACCAAACTGTCCGAAACTTTGACACATCGCTCCTGATCATTTAAGAATTGTTCTGACACGTTAAAAATTTGGATATTTCAAAAAAATTTTTTGACTCAGCCTAGATTAGGACCAAAATGGCGATGAGCTCTCATATTTCGATCAATATACAATTATCGAAGGTTCTGATATGAGAGTGGAAAGGGTCAGGACAATTTTATGACAATTTAGAACACTGTGGTAATCGATAAATTCGTATTTGAACGAGATAAAGGCAAAAAAAGTGTTGTATGCGCTTGTATGCCAAAACGATGGCAATACGAGGTCTCGGAGTGAAGACTTAATTGACCTGGAAATCACAGATGGCGCAGGGGGTCCCTCTGCAGTCAATTAGGGCCCCAGAAAGCATGAATCTAGAGGATTTCTGGAGTTTTACTTTGATTTCTTTATAATTATTGTACGGAAACGACATATGGTGCACGGCATTTGGTACAATATCCAATATAATTCGACACAGCTATCAATATAAAAACGAACGTCGGTAACGTAGGCATTTAGAAAAATCTTCTTTATCGACGTTGACCAAGTTCCTCGACGTGTTTCACTTCACCTTAATCCCCGTTTATCTACATCGACAATTTGTGGAATATTTAGGCAGGAATTTTTCTCAGTGGAAGGGTAACGTCTTTGCGGTAAACGTTTGTCGTTGATAAAATGTATGGGCGCACCAATATAGCAGAATTCTTACCGTCTGCGTCATCTTAACACGAAGAGCGAAGAAATGCCACCAGTGCTTCTACCGTGATAAATGTAACATCAGCTGCGTATAAATATAGAGGCACCAGTTATGCAGCACCATTCTCAACAGTTTAGTTTACCTGCAACACTACACATGTCAAAAAAGTACGATAATCGAGAGTAAGTATAGGAGATCTGCTAAAAGCAGAAATAATGATTTTAAAAATAAAACATAGATCCCTGCATTTCCAAGATTCAAAAAGCATCGTTCCCGAATTCGTAAAATAAGTATTTTAACATTTATATACATTTTTGATGAAAATGATATGGGCTCGAAATTCTTTAAAAAACATATATATGCACATATATTACAAAAGGTTGATTACATGAGTAATAGGAATAAAATCAAGATATTTGGCGTTATAACATATGATATGTTGAGTCAAATAGTTGGAAGAAAGTTTATATACGATCCTCATCCTGTTTAAACATATTCATACTTATTGAAAGATATCCTAGAACCTGTGATTACAAAGAACGTTCATTTGTGGTGAATAAGTAGCGTATTCGTTGATTCTGTGAAGAGCTGCAAAAATTATTTATTAATTATTTAAATCCCAGACTTTAAAAACGGGGACATGCGAAATTTTGCCTGATATTGCGCTGACCGAGTGGATAATTATTTCAGATTAGCACTTGTAAAGTACGTTAAAAATAAACCTCCTTACTGCGAAGGTACGATCTAAAGGTTTGGAGTAGACGTTTATTTTCAGTATAAAAAAAAAACAGAGAAACCCAGTCATTGAAGTTTATGAAAGTCGTCGGGAAGAAAAATGATACGACCTGTCTGCAAAACCCCCCGCAGATAAGATCCGCAACCACAGCTCAGATGACGCAAACTTCCGGCTGGAGGGTTTATCTATTCTCAATTTGATTTCATCTCCTCGATTGGCTACCGATTTCATTCCGACATTTACTCAGCGAATCTAAACTCTTACGTCAAACGTTCTCCTTTATCAGCGCCCCGCGATAGAATATTTTTCGAATTATTCAAGGAAAGAGCCAGTCTACTTCCAGAGCTCCCGATCGTTTACATCTTCTCGTCGTCATTGTCTGTCTTGAGCGAGGGCAACACGAGTCCGTATTTATACAAGTGTACGTATATCTCCTTTGTAAAATATGTATGTGAATAAATACCATATTTTTCTAATGTCCGGTACTAGGTGCCACACGGAGTTTACCGGAAATTTATGATCAAAATTTAAACTTAATTTTATTTAATTTATAATAAGATGTTAATAATTTTGTTTCCCTAATAGGATAGTTATGATTATTAACTAGTAATAGATGATAAATAGGTTAAACAAAACATCGCATTTTTTATTTATCTAATGAAAACCTTAGGTGTTCGGTACTAGGAAACTTCCCCCTATCAGCAAAGATCGACAGTACCGTGATGTTAAACATAGACAGAACGAAATTATTGAATACGATAAAATGTGTATCTGAAACTTGACTTACGTGTTTTCATAGGAAGATCGCCTGGAATTAAATTCTGTAGTACACCCCAATATCTGTTAAGTCATAGTCGGTTCAAAATCGACAGTATAAATCAATAAAGCTTAGGTTACGTGATTACTGCTCCACATGAGCCGTCACCTTGAGATATCTATCCGTTGTCTACTGATTCATATATAATTTGACAGTGCAAAAATCTACCACTACTTCTGTTGGTATATCGCTATCGTTTCAACATAACTAGGTATACAAAGGACAATAAAAAAAGTCGACGTAACCCAAATAAGAATAATATTCATTGATGCGCTGGTATAAAAAATTTAAACTGTTGTAAAATAAATGTATTGTTTTCTTAAAGTGGAATTGGCAACTTTACGCACCTTTTATCCACTTCGCAAATTACTTTTGCGGATTTCTGGAAGCATAAGTTTTTTGTTCCAAACCTGTCGTCTGTTAGATCGTATGAGAATTTCGACCGACTTTCACTGAGAGAACTGGTTCAACGAATTGAATGCCAAATGAGTTCAGTTTCTAATGCGATTTTCACAGTTCATGTTTGCGATAGCTTGAAAACGTAGCGAGACCAAGCGATAAAAGATTGATTAACGAGTATTTCTTCGATTTTCTTCTTTACAGATTACGAATATGAGCTCTGGTGATTCTTGGTCTCTTCCGGTGAAGCAGGGTCTCTACGACCCAATCCTCGAAAAAGATGCCTGCGGTGTTGGTTTCATCGTGGCCATCGATGGAAAACGGTCGCACAAGGTAATCGAAATCTTCACACTTTGTCCTTCTTTATTTAAGAAATAATCAATTTGTTTCCAACGTTGCCTTCATAGAGAAGGTTTCCTTTGGATTTTTTATGTACACGGAATTAGGCCCTTGTTAAAAAAAATTACCAGATTGTTAGAACTCCTTGAATGACTAGTAAAAAATGTAAATACTTGTAACTGAAAGAAATTGTTGAAATAAAACAGGAGCCAAGAATTATCGATATGGAGGTGTCGTCCAACAAAAGAAAGGCATGGATGTGCAACTACTTGTATGCACATTCAACATGCCCATGCGTATGGTACTTCTACGGGAGAAATCTGCATATTGAATCTGTCAAATTTGCAGATTTCATCCGTAATTCTTACAAATATTTTTAAAATTACAAGGATCTTCTTAAACAAGAAATTAAACGGAATTAATTGTTGAAGTAAACGGGGGGAGGGAGGAGGGTGCATAACATTGATAAGTATAGTAAATAATCAATTGAAAAAAAATATTTGTATAAAATAAGTTTTATTATTTATTCCTAAGTGAAGGTGGTAACTACACGCACCTAGGCATACCAGTGTTTTAGGACGAGTTTTCCTCAACTCCCTCGAGTCCAAGTTGGCAACGATCGCCGTTAACTTTCGTATTATCTTCTCAATTTAGCCAATGCGTGACGCACATACATGTTGACCCATGGGACAAGTCGCAGTCCGTCACAGGGATCACTGGTTGCGTCGTTTTCGACTAATAAACGAAACCCCAGTCAAAACAAAACGAGTGTCGAACGTGACTTTCTCAATGTATTGAGGTCACTTAACGACACATCAATCGGTTCTGCAATATGAAGATACGAGTATTGGTCGAAGTTCTCGATTTAAGGGTCAAATACAACATGTTAACGCGTCTCCGATTTCGTGTATCTTTCACATTCTTTTGCTAATTTGAGAAATTTTTTATTATATTCACAAAATCAAGACCAAGACTTAACTATATTCGCAAGATCAAGACCAAAACTAAGACCAAAACCAAAACCCAAACCAAAATCAAAACCAAAAAATACCATAGTTTTAGTCGTACATTTACTCATCACTAATTTCAAAGAATTCAACGTAACCAGTGATGTACGTTCTCTATTCACTTATTGTCAGTACGCTCGTAATGAGGGATATCAGGATACTCGGTAGAATTTTGCGCCAAATGCATTTAAAAGCCTGCGTAAACGGCACCGAATACTTAACGCCAAAATTCGACACATCAATTCGATAAAAAATTATTTCTTAATTTAGAGAACTTATCATGGACCCATGTTTAACATATTGAAAGTACGTTCCATTTTGTAGAGCCTGTAATTCTTCAGATTTTTAATACTGTACTGACCGATATGTGTTAAACAGAATTAATTCTTTTCTAAGTCCGAGATAACTAAAATGGGATATAATTGACCTAATAATATTATTTAAAATATAAGCAAGTATGATAGCGCCCGCAGTCGATTATGAATATGACAGTTATTTTACAGGAAATTATTTACATTAAATTTTACTTGAAACTAATCGAATAATTTATTTTATGCTGTTACGTGCTAAAAGAATTCTGCCCTACAGATTTTGCGCGATGCGGAGAAGCTGTCTGCTCGTATGAACCACAGAGGTGCGTGTGCATGTGATAATGACACTGGTGACGGAGCTGGTGTACTTTGCGCAATACCGCACGACTATTACGCCGATGAAATTCGGTAAGGATCTTTTCCCACTTCCTCTTCTTTCCTCTTATTTACTATCAATCTACGTTTTATATTATCGGTGTCGCAATCGGGTTGTGAGGCGGCGAACTATCGTTATTTAAAAATGGAATTATACCTAAATAGTCTTGCAGTCTGAAACGAATGAAAGCATTTTAGATATCTGGAACTTGCAATACGAATTTACATTCTGAGAATGTGTAAAAAACCCAATATGATAATTCAATTTTGTAATCGGTGACTCAATAGGCTCGTTGGAGGTCTGATTCGTTACATTGTTGTTTGTCATGCAATTGCTTTACGGTGCCTCTCTGAATTATATCTTTCTCAACTTATATAAATGGTTGAGACATCGTAGATAAAGAAGGCAGAGACGAGACCATTAGATGTACGGAGAAAACGATAAGGTGACTGCTTCCATCTCGGATATGTTAATTGTGCCATGAACGGCAATTGAAAATTAATCCAGTTGTTTTCTGGTTTCATAAGTATAGATTTAAAGTGCATAAGAGTAACCCAATACAGATCCAGAAGCAAATCACTTCACCAGGATGTGTTTAACTCAATATAGTTTAGCATATTAAGCGTATAATATGAATAAAAAAAATTGGTTACCCGTATTTTCTTTTCAGCGAGAAAACAGGTATTGAATTACCGGAATTCGGACGTTATGCAACGGGTATACTTTTCCTGGATAAGAATACCCACAAAGAAACCGAAGCGGCGTTTGAAAAATTGGCTCAAGATTGCGATTTGAGAGTATGTATCTGTACGACCCATTCTTCTTGGACTTAGATAAACAATCGGTCATTTTTTTGACTTGAAAAGATCCGGTTAGTTTTATTTCAACATATTTAACATTTGGTTAATTTTGTAGGTAATCCATTGGCGTGATGTTCCTACAGACAATTCTCAGATCGGCCAAGTGGCACGAAAGTGTGAGCCTTACATGCGTCAAGTATTCGTCACGGGAGATCAAGACGTTGAAATATTGAATAGACAAGTAAGTTCACTTGTCAGTCAAATTATCATTGTGCAAATTGTCTTATGTTAAAAACGTTTGACATCTGTGGGTAGTAATAAAATTCAAGAAAAGAGGTTCTCTAAGCTGAAATGATAAAAGTCGCGTCATCAGTTCTTAAATAATCTTGTAGTTTCTAAAACCAGTTTAACCTTTTGTTTCGGGCTTACTGGTCACCTGAAATCATGTACAGGGTGAAAAAAAAAAATTAAAAAATTTCTAGCCTTTATAGGACCGTCATGTTTTAAATATTTTAAAACTTTTTTATGTTAAATTTGCCATAATATGTCAAATACAACAGCCCTGTAAAAAAATATATCCTATATCTTTTCATTCTCTTTTAAACTCACCTTCATTAAAACGCATATCACAACCTATTAACTCAAATAGGTTAACTGTAAATCACTTTGTTCTAATATATTGGCAGTGGATTTACACAATCTCAACCAGGCAAGTCTCGCAAAAGCAAGATCGAGTGGTTCGCCTGTAATTCTATATCTACTCCGTATTCTAAATTTAACGGCATCCGGTAATGTCAAAATACTATTACCAGCCTGAAACGACGAATGAAGTTTACCGCTTTTCCATCACGACGTTACTTATGATTTTCTACACTTTTGTTGAACCTAGCCAATTATTTAATAATTATCAAACCATTTTTATTGTGAAGATAACCTCTTCTTCTTGTCTTGGCAACTACATATAACTTGTATTAAGTGTTTGCGGTTAATTTAAGTACAGTGAGTAAACACAGTTCAAGCCGATTGGCATTGAATATCTCCATCAATTCAGAAAAATAGAACAACTTGTTCTTATGTGTAACTAAAGCTTAGGCATTTTATCCTAATGTGCATACAAGTTAGTAAATTATTTTTATAAAACAAATGCTTTATTGTAAGCGTTGATGTTGTTTTATTTAGGTATTTATACTGCGGAAGAGGTCGACACATACCATATCTCAACCAGGATTAAGGTACTACATTTGCTCTCTTTCGTTAAAAACCGTCGTCTACAAAGGTCAACTTACAGCGGATCAACTATGGTTGTATTTCCTAGACTTGAAGGTAAGTTTTCAGTGAATCCCGTTAAATCTTAAATGAAAAGAAAATTCTTAATTTTGGGAAGATCGATTTACACATCAGTTCTATATCAGGTCAGAATTAGTTCCGTGCACAGATCCAGAATATGATCCAATGAATTTGAGTAGTAGCGTTACACTCTTCAATGCCAATAGTATCCGGTCAATGCGCATTCAGTATTTTTCCCGACATTATTAGTGAAAATGTCTCCACAAGACAGAAACTAAACGTACTGGCACTGATGTAATTGAACTGTTTTCAATCCGATATCCACCTAATTTAACGGATTTCGTTCACTTAAAGTAAGATTTCAGTAGGTGAATCACAATGTAATTCTTTAAAGATATGCAAAAAATGTGGTAAATATGTACAAGTACCTTATAAAATGTTATAGATTTACTTTCGCTTGTTAATTTTAATCATACTTCGCAAACTTATTTACATTATTTTTCTTCACTTCTGTTAATCTAGAAGCATCATAAGTTCATTTTGAGAAAAAATCGTCATGACATGTGACCTCGTCTGTTTGTATGTGTAAATCGACCTTTAAACCAGCTTGCTATGGATTAATATAAACCAGTCTTATGTCCATATTTGAACATGCAATTTGACATTCAGCAATAAAGCTACGATCCATCATTTGAATATAAATCTCAATTTTTATACTTAATAGTCTCCAAAATTCGAGACCTACTTGGCACTGGTGCATACACGCTTTTCAACAAATACATTTCCAAGCTGGGAAAGAGCTCATCCGTTGCGGTAAGATTTTGCTGGTTCACTAATATTAATGTGATTTTTTAATATCCGTTCATTTATTCTGTTATATTTATAACCATCCATTTTATGAGCTTACTATTTCAACTGACGTTGATATCCACTTACGTTCTTAATGGAAAGAAAATATTTTGCCAGACTGCTCGCTCACAATGGAGAGATAAACACTCTTCGTGGCAACGTAAACTTAATGAAGGCCCGTGAAGGTGTAATGAGTAGCAAGATCTATGGAGATCAATTAAAACATTTGTATCCCGTCGTTGAGCCAAATCTCTCTGATTCGGGAGCAGCGGATTGCGTACTTGAGTTCCTGGTTATGGCTGGCCACCGTACTCTACCCGAGGTATGCAATACAATGCAAAGTAATTCTATCTCCAAAGGAAATTAATGAATAGCCGTTAATTTCGAAGGGGTAATGAAAAGTGAATAATTTAACACAATTGTTACAATTAGGCTGTGATGACCATGGTACCGGAGGCTTGGCAAAACGACTTAACAATGGCATCGGAAAAGCGGGACTTCTATCATTGGGCCGCTTGCGTTATGGAGCCATGGGACGGACCAGCTCTGCTGACATTCACGGATGGGCGTTATATCGGTGCTATCTTGGACAGGTAGACATTTCTAAGACTATTCCTCGAGAAGCGCTGTTTTAATACGATTTTACTTTCACGGACTGTTAATGTTCTGATAATTAACTAGAAAAACCATGGGATATTGCTGTGCTATGCGCAGGAAAGGTTGAAGCAGGAACGTGTCTGATCCCGTAAAAATCTTGTGAATTATGACGATTTAGGGGGAAAGGACTACTGATTGAAGGAAATTGTTGTCGAAAAGCCGTGGGGGTGATCATCCAACGCTGGTTGAAAATTGCGAATCTGCGGAGAGGACGGATAAGGTGTTACGAGCACGGAAACCAACGTGTGCCACTAAACATGCTTTGTCTGCCATTCGTGGATTCGACAAGGGGCTTCGAGTATATTGATACTTTACAAGATTTTTCCGGAGGATCTTGTCGATGAGATTTCAGTGATGGAACTATAAAAGATGATCAAGTTATGCCTGTAACTACGAAATTAGCGTAAATACAGAGGCAGAGGGTCGCAGAACACTCATCGTATCCATTGCATCACTCTGTTAATTGCAATGCTTGCTACGATCAATTAAAATCTAATGAATAATACCATAGGTGATAGCAGACGGCCGCCGGCCATTGATCTTTTAATATTGTCAAGTTACTGCACGATCCTTTTTGCCGATAGAGGGTCGACAGAAGATGTTTGACGGGAATTATCCAAAAAGTTTCTTTCGATCTCTCTCGCTACATCTTAATCGTTGTACTACTGTGCAAATTTGTCGTTTAAAGGTTAGACAATCAATGCATACGATAATTTCCGTCATTAATCTGGTAATGGGAAGATTACTAGGTAACGGACGAAAGATAGATTATAAGAGTCCCGACAGGAAAGCAAACGAACGAACAAGAATTATTCAGCCGATTATGAATGATGCTAAAGTCGTAATACAAAGGACTTTTTTGAATTTTTGTTTGGCAGAAATGGCCTGCGCCCGTCGCGCTTCTACGTCACTAAGGATAACATGATGGTGATGGCGTCCGAAGTGGGCGTCTATGATACTCCACCCAGCAATGTTGTCCTCAAGGTAAACAAGGAAACCATGCAACGACGAACCAGCGTGTGGGAACTAATGGCAGATCGCTCCTCCGAGGGGTCTCTCTAATTAATTAAACATCTGATCCATCCTCGCATATGTATCTCTATATTTAACATAGAGCCTTTCAGCTTTAGGAAATCATTTACTCCGTGATACCATCATTTATTGAAGTCGAGTTATTACTCGGCGGACGAGGGTCGCAGCTCGAAGAGAAGACGTCGAACTTGGTACCTGTTCCAGCAGATCGTTAAGAGGACGCCCCGTTCAATGCAATATACATACTAATATATTACACTAACTTCAAATTATTTTTTGCATTTACATAGATTTTTTCACATTTTTATTTCATAGATTGATTTGATCCTTCACTGAATAATCACTTACTTGAATGAACAACCGAAAGTTATGTGCAATTTTTATTATTATCAATAATGGTTTTATATATTGTGGGAACTAAAAACGGTACGTCATCGAGGAGTTCTGATTATTCAGCGAAACAATTGCATTCCACAAATGTTGCTCAAAGGGCAACACTATTATACGTGGATAGACATTGTACGCAAATCTTATAGCAGCATTATGTACTGGTACTCTGTCTTCATGAGACAGCTAACTAGTGTTTGTTCATTTATATTTATACTTATGACTTCTATGTGTGGAATTTACCTTAGCTCAACCGTTTACTGGTTAAACTTTAATAAGGACAGATTACCATTTTCTAATCCATATATTTTAGTACTATTGTATTTTAGAATCTACGTAATAGCCAATCACATTGTATTTTATTTATTTTTAATCATGTCATGTATGGTGTATAATTAATCACACATTTAGGGACTGGGTTTGTATAGAGCAGTAGGACCGTCATCCAGTGCTGTCATATAAATGTCGATCGATCCAAGCTGGTAGTCGACGTCGTTCATTCGTTTTTTATTTTATTTTCAGAGCCGTCTGAAGCCTGGACGAATGCTCCTTGTTGATACAGAAGAAAAACAGATCATCCAAGATGTTGAGCTCAAGCTGAAAATTGCTAGGAGCAGACCTCACTCCAAATGGTTGAGAGAGCAGGTATTTCCGCGACATCGATCATTTCCATTTTGCACTTTGTTGTTTTAATTCGTATGTTCGTGTTTAATCGTAATTTTTACTGATCTTGATGCATAAGCATAACCATCAGGGGGCAATTTATTATGTTCAGCCCATTTCCTCTTCCTTTGGAGCTAGAGATGTTTTAATATTCGATTTCATAATAAGGAATTAAGTGACCTTATTAATGGGTAGTAAGAAGTCAATCATTCACTTGTGTACGAATCAGCCATTGTTATTATGGTTCAATGTGGTGGTGGAATGTAATCTACCGTGAAGGTCTGGGTAAAATTGATCCACTTGTGATCGAAACGTAATCGATTATCAAAAAAATCCTTCATCTTATAATCAGGCAAAATATTAATTCAAGATCATTCTTTTCCACTTATCCCGTATGCTGCCTACATTGGTGTTAAATAAAGAGGGTGAGTCGCATCCGTTGAACCCAAATATATGTGTGATTTTTTATCTTTTATTGGTTCTTTCCCTTTGAATGTTCACAGAAGAAGCACAAACTAAATTCTTACCTGTAGAATTGTCCCTCCTTTTCGTGTATACGATCTGTAGTGGGCATATTAATATATTCATCCTTCACACACCTCTTCTAATGCACACGTATAGAGGTTCTATTTACTTTCAACTTATATCTTACTTTAGATATTCATTTTTATTTGAACATATATAATCATTCTTTTACTATATTAACGGAAGGAGTAAAAAATGGTTGAGACAACGTAAGATCAGGTGCTCGATTTGTTCATATGTATTTTTAAAAATGTGACGTTGCGATAGTCAGCGAGTAATTCCGTTACTATTTTACTGTATTTTTGCTTGCTTGAAGGAACGTGTTCTCCTGATGATCTATCACTGTGGTTTGGTCTATTACATCTCCTCATAGCATATTTTATCACATCACTTTACTATCAATTTTTACTCTTTTGAACTTGGTAAAGAAACTATTCAAATGTATTATAAATTGCGTGTTTCTTTTCTTTTTTCTTTTTTCTTTACGAAAGGTCAAACAAATGATCTCTATACCAAAGCATTCTCGCATAATACTTTTTTACTTCTGTATAAAATTGCTTTATATTATAACATGCTGTAATGTTTTTGGCAATGTTAAATACACTTTTTACCCTAGTTTATTACAAACATATACGATCTAAATACATACAAGCTTCGTTAGAATCCGTTTCAAGTACTTACATTTTAATTTTATACAAATCTCTTTTTTTGTCGTTGAATAATTATAATTCTTACTCCTTTATCTTGGATTAATTTGATGGTTGACTGTATAAAATATCTCACAAATAGTTTCACACGCATTTCATTTGAAAACAGATTACCATGGATGATTTACGTGCGGAGTATGTCACTACTGATGATGACGAAGCAATAAAAAATGGACATTCTTCCGATGTAATAAACAGAAATGGGCTCAATGGACTGGATAATGAGGTTTCTAAGGTACACGGAATATGGGGTGGGGATAAACGTCTCTCTCTCTATGGATATACCATCGAAACTATTAATTTGCTGCTATTGCCTATGATCCAAACAAAGTATGTTTTTCTACGTTGTTCAATGATATAAATTTAGTAGCCATGCTAATTAATGTCATATTTCAGAAAAGAAGCCTTAGGATCAATGGGTAACGATGCCCCATTAGCATGCTTATCTGAATTCCAGCCACTGATATATGAGTACTTCAAGCAACTGTTTGCCCAAGTGAGTCAGCTTTCTGTTGAAACTTTCTTTTTCATTAGCTGATTTAGTGATCAAATAATATTGGACATCTGTAACTGTAAATATCACTATGTGGATATAGTCAATGTACGTCGATATTTTTTATTCAGGTGACGAACCCTCCTATTGATCCCTTCAGAGAAAAGGTGGTAATGTCACTTCTATGCCCAATTGGACCAGAGAGCAATATTTTAGAGCCAAATGAACTTCAAGTGCATAGGCTATTCCTACAACAACCTATCTTATCTATTCGTGATCTTGAAATTATAAAACGAACATCCCATCGCAATTGGAAAACAAAAGTTATCGATGTTACGTATCCTGTAGAAGAGGGTCCTTCTGGACTTTTAAAGACACTCAATCGCGTCAGCAGCGAAGCAGATGTGGCAGCTGTGGAAGGCTATCAATTAATAGTGCTGTCCGATCGCCGGTCTGGACCGAAAAGGTAAAATTTGTGCATTAAATATCACATGTCGTTATATGATTCAACGTTGGTAGGCTTTCTTGTTCCATTCAAATAATTAAAGTATAAGATACTTAATGCAAATAAAAATGTCGTTTCAGGGTGCCGGTCAGCATTTTATTGGCACTGGGGGCAGTACATCATCATTTAATCGAATCTCGCCATCGAATGAAAGTGGGATTAATCGCAGAGACTGGAGAAGCTCGTGAGGTGCATCATATGTGTGTGCTCCTTAGTTACGGAGCAGATGCTATTTGTCCATATCTTGTATTTGAAACAGCTATGAACTTGCGAGCTGATGGCGTTCTCGATCAGTCATTAACGGATGAAATCATGTTCGCGGTAAAAATATACAATTAACTGTTCTCATTTAAGACGTATATCGAAGGTCTTAAGTAATATAAATATTTAAAACATTTCTTAGAATTATTGTGAGGCAATGGAACGAGGAATATCAAAGGTAATGGCCAAGATGGGTATATCAACACTGCAATCATACAAGGGTGCTCAAATTTTTGAAGTTGTAGGATTAGCTGATAACGTAATTGACAAATGCTTCAGGGTATGTAATAAATTATGCATGTATTTTTCACGGTCACTATTTATAGAAAATCAATAATAATGGAACATAATAGATTGGATAACAAACAATGATTATAAATTGGATCCAATTAATGAATAATGCTTGATTCAAAACTTTTTATGAGATACTTCGACAGTAATATGATTGTCTGTAAATATGAATACCTTAATGATAACGGAATATGTAATGATACTTAGGGCACCCAGTCTCGCATCGGTGGAGTCACTTTTGACATTTTAGCTAACGAGACGTTTGAAAGGCATCAACTTACATATTTCGATAAAGCTGTAGACATGCTCGTGCTTCGTAATCCAGGCGTTTTTCATTGGAGAGCGGGTGGAGAAAAACATATCAATGATCCACTCAGCATTGCTCATTTGCAGGTAAAATACGTTATACTTTTTACTCGTACATTCCGCATGATGATGTTAATTGACATTTTTAAAAAATGCCTTTAGGAATCTGTTGAGTCGAGAAACATTAACTCGTATGAAAATTACCGAAAATCTACAATGGAATCAGTAAAATCTTGCACATTACGCGGTCAGCTGGAATTGAAGAAAAATAGCAATCCTATTTCCATCGCAGAAGTGGAACCCGCTTCTGAAATAGTAAAACGATTTGCCACTGGTGCTATGAGTTTTGGTAGCATTTCGTTGGAAGCACATACCACGTTGGCAGTTGCTATGAACCGAATTGGTGGCAAATCAAATACTGGCGAAGGAGGTGAAAATGCAGATAGGTAATCCAAGATTGATCATAAATAGCGTAAAATGAATTTTAAACGATTTTGATTGAAATATTGCTTTTTATAATGTATCTGATTATTTATTCATGGTAATAGGTATTTGAATCAGGATCCAGAGTTCAATAAACGATCATCTATCAAGCAAGTGGCTAGTGGCAGATTCGGTGTAACGTCAAGTTATTTGGCAAATGCGGATGACCTTCAAATTAAAATGGCTCAAGGCGCAAAACCGGGTGAGGGTGGAGAATTGCCCGGATACAAGGTAATTGTAAAGCTTTACATTGACAGTAAGCGAAAAAAACTTTCTTCCACCACGTACATTTTTAGATACTTTCATCAACAGTGTTGTAAGGTCAATTTAATAATATTAATGAGCATTTAGAAAAACTTGATAAAGTTCTTTTAAATGCTCTTCTAAGCTCAAGAAAATTTAATGTTCTTTGAAATTTGTATTAATATTATTAAATCGACCTTACAGCATACTTTGTTGATGAAAGTATTAAAAAATGTCCGTGGTGTAAGAATGTTTTTTTCGCTTACTGTTAATGTAATGGTAATATATTTTGTATACATAAAACGTCTTAGAATGAAAAGTTGATTTACTTCAGAAAGTGAAATACTCTGAAAGAATTAACCCTTTGCGATCGGCAAATTTCTCTGATGGGAGTACCAGCTAGTCGGAGCAAATTTAGCTTTTCGGAGTTATTTCTCCCTTAGTGATTTAACGCAAATATATGGATATTAAAAAAAAACAGACATCATGCCGCCACTGTGGCGGCATCGACCGCAAAGGGTTAATTACAGTTTTGTATTAAATTAGAGTTTGATAGATTTACAGTACGTCTGATGTCTCTTAACTGCAATGCAATTTTCTCTCAAATCTCCAACACTTACCTGTAAATTCATTCCTGTAACAGCCTCAAACCCTGTTTATTCACAACTAATAATTTGTTATACCAAGTATGAAACTGTTTGAGTTAAATATATTGTATAAAAAAAATTATATAACTTCCATTAATATTTTCAGTATTTAGTATTCTTGTATACATGACTTTTGCCTCAAAATCATTTCTATTTGATGCTAAGTTGCCATCATTTGACATTCAACATTAATGTGCTGCGTAATAAATATATTTTTTCGCGGTAAATAATTATTTTCACTTAGAAAGTAAATTTTTCGCCCAATGTAGTTAGATGATACTACTTACTGTTAGATATATCGTAACTTTTAATTGTGTTTATGTAAAGGTTACAGCAGACATTGCTTCAACGCGGCACTCAGTACCAGGTGTGGGTCTTATTTCCCCACCTCCCCATCATGATATTTACTCTATTGAAGATTTGGCTGAATTGATTTATGATTTAAAGTGTGCCAATCCGAATGCTCGCATTTCCGTCAAATTGGTGTCCGAAGTGGGAGTAGGTGTAGTCGCAGCGGGAGTTGCAAAGGTAATTTAAATGTTTTTTTACATTCTAGTTACACAGGGTGAGAAAAATATATTGAAACCCCCTACTTAAAAGACTCATTATTACAAAATACTTTGAAATACCAGTATTTTGTCTTCACTCTATACGTATCTTCATGTTTTTATTCTAAAGTGTCCTTAAAAACTGAAAAGACAATATTATAATTCGATAGGGGAAAGGTGAACATGTTGTTATATCTGGTCACGATGGTGGAACTGGTGCGAGTAGCTGGACGGGAATTAAATCTGCTGGCCTTCCTTGGGAACTGGGTATCGCCGAAACTCATCAGGTTTTAACTCTTAATAATCTCCGTTCGCGAATGGTGGTTCAAGCTGATGGACAAATGCGAACTGGATTCGATATTATAGTAGGTGCACTACTAGGTGCTGATGAATTCGGGTTTAGTACAGTTCCTCTAATTGCAATGGGTTGCACGATGATGCGAAAGTGTCATCTAAATACCTGTCCCGTTGGTATCGCTACTCAGGATCCGGAACTGCGAAAGAAATTTACAGGAAAACCAGAACACGTGATCAATTTCTTCTTTATGTTGGCTGAAGAGGTATTTTCATAACATTATTTTAGAGACCAGAGCGATTATGTTAAACTACTTTCTCCTTGAGGTGAGAATTTCTACATCTAAGTTTTCTTCTGCTCGGTTAGGTGCGTTCGCATATGGCGAGCCTTGGAATTAGCAAGTTCCAGGATCTAATTGGTCGTACCGATCTTCTCCAAGTGCGTACAGACATTACTTCGGAAAAAGCCAAGCTGTTGAACCTGACAAACATTTTACGTAATGCCCTGGAACTAAGGCCAGGAGTTAGTATAAAGGGTGGTTCCGTAAAGCAGGATTTCCAACTCGAGAATAGATTAGACAATAAACTCATTGAATTAGCTGCGCCAGTTTTGAGCGGGCAACAAAAAGGTGTCGATCTTGAGTTAACAATTAATAACGAGTGCAGAGCATTCGCATCGACCTTGAGCTATCACGTTTCAAAGTAAGTTTGCTGGGGAATAATTATGGGCATCTATTAATGCGTTCCAAACAAAATGATCTTTCTTCTTTTTTTACAGACAATTTGGAGAAGATGGATTACCGGAGCACAGTATCAATATAAAAATGACTGGCTCTGCTGGTCAGAGCTTCTGTGCTTTCATGACAAAGGGAATTCATGTAACATTAGAAGGTGATGCAAACGATTATGTGGGAAAGGTATTAGTTTTTTTTTTTTCCCTACCGAATCGTAATTCTATGCATTTAATAATATGTAAGTGTACGCTATAATGCTATTGTGTTACAGGGCCTTTGCGGAGGTGAAATTGTGATTTATCCTCCAAAAGAATCAGAGTTTAACTCCGAGGCTAATGTAATTGTAGGGAATGTGTGCCTTTATGGTGCAACTAGTGGAAACGCTTATTTCAGAGGCATTGCTGCCGAAAGGTTCAGCGTTCGCAATAGTGGTGCTGTAGTGGTTGTAGAGGGTGTAGGTGATCACGGATGTGAGTATATGACCGGAGGTTGTGCCGTAATTCTTGGGCTAACGGGAAGAAACTTTGCTGCTGGTATGTCTGGTGGGATAGCGTATGTCCTTGATGTTGATGGATCATTCAAGAGGTATCACTTTAATTTATATATTTTGCTAATTGTAAATGGGTTACTCTTATGTGCGAAACTTGATCATTCACTGTTTTAATATTCAGCAAATGCAATCCTGAAATGGTGGAGCTATTACCTTTGATTAATCCTGATGATATCGCGTATGTAAAACAGTTATTGGAAGAGTTTGTCGAGAAAACGGGATCGCTCATTGCTAAAGATCTGCTAGAAATTTGGCCGGAGCCAACAACAAGATTTATAAAGGTTACTAGCAATCCTGTATTCTACTTATTGTAATGAACTATTTGAAAAATCGAATAATATGTAATTATACCGATATTTATTCGTATGTCTTACTCTATAGGTATTCCCCTACGAGTATCAACGAGCAATTAAGCAACTTGAAGAAGCTAAGTTAGCGGAACCAGTTTTGAATGGAAGTACCAAAAACGTTGACAACGCAGTAAAAGATGTCGAGGATGTAGTCGCAGATGAAGATATGGAGAAACGGAAACTAGACAAAATAAGGTACAAGCCTAGTTTAATTTAACTTCAGAAATAAGCTGCAGTGATCTTGTAATGTTTACGCTGATTTAATTCCCAGGGGATTCATGAAATACAAAAGAGAGACATCGGTTTACCGACCAGTCGAAAAGAGAGTGGATGACTGGGACGAGATATATAATTTCCAAAAAGTGAGAAAAGGACTACGCGTGCAAGCAGCAAGGTGCATGGAGTGCGGAATTCCGTTCTGTCAAAGCAGCCACGGTTGCCCACTTGGCAATATCATTCCTAAATGGAACGATTTAGTATTCCATAAGAATTGGAAGGAAGCCCTTAATCAGCTGCTGCAGACCAATAACTTCCCTGGTTAGTCTACACAATGAACGCCATATTTTGTGTTCTAAATTCACAAATATTCTCATAAATGTGTTGTGTATCATTAGAATTCACCGGACGAGTTTGCCCAGCACCTTGTGAAGGTGCTTGTGTTCTGGGAATATCAGAGCCTCCTGTTACAATCAAAAATATTGAATGTGCGATAATAGATCATGCATTTGAGCAAGGCTGGATCGTTCCTAATCCACCTAAAACTCGATCTGGAAAACGTGTAGCGGTAGTGGGATCTGGTCCTGCTGGATTAGCTGCTGCTCATCAATTGAACAAAGCTGGACACACCGTTACGGTCTTCGAAAGAAATGATCGAGTCGGAGGTCTGCTGCAATATGGCATTCCCACTATGAAACTGTCAAAGCAAGTCGTACAACGGAGAGTTTCTCTCCTTGCAGCTGAGGGTATTACTTTCAAAACAGGCATAAATATTGGAAAAGATGTAACGGCTAAAGTAAGTTTCGCAATTTGATGCAACATTGATGCAAATCATTTTCTGCTAACAGTTACAAAATTAACTTTAGTTTGTCAAGACCCAAATTGATATAAAGCGATTTTACCGACGCTACGTAATCTATAGCTACTACTATCGCGTAGAGCAATATCAATCGTTAGGATTTAGATTTCTTCCGTAGCCTAAAATCTCGCTCGAGGGTCGGCTGAGAAGAAACGGAAAAGAAAAAAGGATAGAGCGCAATTGAGTATAGAAGCAAATACATATACACATCTAAATTGAGCAAAACAACGTCACTAGTATCGCCATTTATCGGAATTATCAGAATCAATTAAGCTTCGCAAATTTTAAGCAAATAGCGCAAAAATTGTTCACGACTTTCAGACTGTATCTCCTGAGATAGGATTCTGTACGCCAATTCGATGGCTATCTATATTATTCACCGTGTTATTCTAATGGTCAAACAATATCGATAGTTATCGAATTGGCGTACAGAATCCTAGCTCTGGGACCTTAACCGTTTTGCTCCGATATTTTACGAACTCGACCTTACTATTAAATAATCATAAGAACTAATTTAGTTATAAAACTTGATACGAGATATATATTTTTTTACACAAACGCAGGAATTGATACAACAATTCGATGCATTGCTGTTATGTACTGGTGCAACTTGGCCTAGAGATTTACCTATTTCTGGCAGACATCTTGAAGGAATTCATTTTGCTGTAAGCTTCCTTGAACATTGGCAAAAGAAACAAATGGGGAATAACGCACCTCTGGACATGAAGCTTATGGCAAAAGACAAAGATGTTATTATAATTGGTGGAGGAGACACTGGCTGTGATTGCATTGCTACATCCTTACGCCAGGTAATGAGATAACATATGAACTTATTTTTTTTGCATATGTTGCTATATCTCTTTATATGACAAGTTACGAGGATTACTTAATTTCAGGGTGCTAAGAGTATTACTACGTTTGAAATTTTACCTGTACCACCGGTGAAAAGAGCCAAAGATAATCCTTGGCCTCAGTTTCCACGTGTCTTTAAGGTCGATTATGGCCATGAAGAAGTTTCTCTTAAATTTGGACGTGATCCACGCCAATTTAGCACTCTTAGCAAGGTAAGTAATTTTTATTTTTATTTAATAATTTCATGACTGTAATGAAATATTTCATACATTTTGGAATTAGTACAGTACTTAATTAAAAGAACATTTTATATTACAGGAATTTTTGGACGATGGAAAAGGGAATGTGAGTGGTATTAGGACAGTGAGTGTTGAATGGACCAAAGATGAATCTGGACGTTGGAAAATGGATGAAGTACCTGACTCTGAGAAGGTTAGCAAAATTTTATATTACAATTACAAAAAAAGATGTACCTATCTATTATTGATTTATTATCTTGTAGATATACAAGTGTGACTTAGTATTACTCGCTATGGGTTTCTTGGGTCCCGAGAAGTATATTGCATCCGAATTGGAAATGAAATTGGACAGCCGCGGAAATTACGAAACTCCTATTCACAAATATTCGACAAACTTACCTGGAGTTTTTGCTGCTGGAGGTAAATTATTTATATAAAGATATTTCAATAAAACTATATATATCAACTTTCATAAATTCCTATTGTAGATTGCAGAAGAGGGCAGTCATTGGTAGTATGGGCAATTACCGAGGGAAGACAAGCCGCTAGAGAAGTCGATATTTTTTTGATGAATGAGACTACTTTGCCAGGTCCTGCAGGTGTTATACTGCCTGCAATTACTGTCAAGCATTAAGATCTTTCACTTAAATGGAAGACTGTGCTAAACATCACTAAGGTTTTTCCTTGGAACGGTATAAACATTCGAATGGCTAGCATTTCTATGCTGAGAGTATTGTAAAAAATAGACAGAATCAAATGAAATCAATAGAAATAACCGGTAATATTTGTAGGGTCACAATAGAGAGTGTAACATTTTGAAATTAACAAAAAATAGTTTTTTTTTAACCTAGGTGCAAAGTAAACCAAAATAAGCAGAGATATTAGAAATCTATGTCTATTGAAGTCATAAATGATGATATGATTAAAATAATCTATCGTAGCTTCGTTTCAAATTGGAAAACACTAGTTTCTAGAATATACGTAGATTCCTACAATGTTATACGACCTGAGGTGTTTAGTGATGAATCAATCGTACGATAATTATTATTGTTGTAGATTTTGGCGTCTTGAAACAATTACTTAAAATTCTTAAAGAAAAATGTACTTTAAATATTCAAAATTTGTCTTGTGATTATGGAAACAAATTTTTCAGTTTTACAAAAATATCCCTTTTTTTTTTACAAAATACTTGTGTTACAAACCAATTAGATTCATTTATATTTTATTCTCGTGTTATATATTTTCAAAGCTAAACGAAATTACGTCATGAGTAATAAAACACGCATACAATCGGTTGTAACGATTCAGTTGAACACCAAAGGCCTCATATAAAAGTAAGGTGATTATCTGAAGATATACACATAAATATTATTTTAGCTGCTGCAAATATCGTTAACAGTTGCAAATAAATTTATTATTTATNTGGAACAGATAACAGTTTCCGATAGCACCTACGATATTTAATTTGAATTTGAACTAAAGATGAAAAATGCCTCTAATAATTACTCTACAGACAAAATATACTTTAACAGTTTAACGGTTATTTTTTTGAAAATCGTTACTTGTTGATCCTTTTTTATTCACTTACCAAATAGTCTCAAGAAGTAAATATTAATTGAAACTAATTAAATATTAATTTCTTAGCCTGTCAAATATACTATTTAGATTAGTCTATAATCTTATTTGGTATACTGAGACAGAGAAGAACATGAACATTTCTTTAATTCGAAGTTAATTTAAGAAAAAACACGATTGCGTATCAAATACCTTTATAATCTTATATACCAATTTTGGAGTAATATCCAAATTTCTTAAAAATCTTTAAAAAATACATGGGTATTTTTAGATTTTAACAAGAAAAATGAACTTTGAAAATAACGTGCAAATTTTCAACAGTGCTCTACTAAAAGGATTGGCTTATACATGAATTACATTTACAAATAAAGTTTGATGGAGAGAACCTGGACATTTTCTTTTTCAATATACTTTTCAATTAGTAATTATTTCTTTGTTTCACTTTTATGCCTGTGCTATGAGTAATTGAAACAATTCATTTGTTCTTAATTTCCAATTAACACAACTGCCACGGTGGTTACCAAAGACCGGCAATCGCTTTAAAAAATTAAACTCGTTATTTGTTTTGACAGTCAACGCGTTAAATTTTTGAGTCAAAAACAGTTTTCTGCGCAATTTTATATGCGAAAGTGGCCGCTGATTTAGCCAGGTCTATCGAGAATGTTCTTCCTATGTAGTAGCCGTTAAGGCTAGGCAGCATGTTTTTGCACGTAGCTAATTTAAATCGGGAACGTTGAAAGCTTTTCAATTCAATAAACTCGCCTATTCAATTCATATGGTAAAGCTCTTTTACCATACACCAAATTTACATACAATGATAAATATTTTCGAACAAAAACGATATTACCATTTATTTCTGGCTGCAAATAATACGTTTTTACAGAATATGTCGCTATGAAATCATGTATGTAAGATCTTATAATTCTAATATTGTACTAACAGCATATATATATATATATAGTCTTTTAAGCAAACCACTGATTTTTCCGTTGAATATGTATTTAGAAACGTCAGAAGTATGAAGAGTTTTCCATATTTTAGCTTTTAGGTTGTACGTTACTTTATGCTCATTGTGTAGATGAAATTTCTACTTCAGCAGTTTAAATAGTTTAGAGTATTCTTTTGTAATTTTCTTAGAAAGCGTTATTAGATTAAGGAAATAGCGATAAGTAACTTATTTGTGGACGATTTAAGGGCGCATCTTATGTAGATTCACTGCATATCATTGTATCCTCGTATCGCAATCACTTTTTAGTTCGATTTATTAAAATCAACCGACATTATCATTACTTATCACTATAAATCTCATTGCGTACTATTATAATATACTACCAAGACAATAAAATTATATTGATCGTTGATTTCAGTGTTTTGTGCATCATTTTACCCCTAGCCAAAATGTAGCGGTAAAATTGAATTTTGTGATGGTCAAAAGAATATTAGAACTTGTTCTTAAAAAATATGTCTCATAAAATGAACATAATTTGAAAAACAGACATTGTCAACTCTATCATATGTTCCTTCAATAATTGAAACTACGAGTTCATAGGTATAACGAATTCTCCAACTCAAAATAAACCCAAGGCTCTAATGCCCTACTTGTCTCAAAATAATACCGACCAACTTGTGTGTATCGCACTTTGATATACACTCGTATATTTAATTCCACAACTTCCAATTTAACGCTTAAGAAATATT